TACAAAAAAGTTTACCTATAAAACTCAAGATGCTTAATATAGCATCACTCAGCTAAGTGATAAATTTTATTATATATATATATATATATATATATATATATATATAAAAGATACATAACTGAATAACTGATACATTAAAATATAGACATAATGAACACCCAGACACCCCTCGTCTAGTAAACTGGATTTATCTGTAACCTTGGAAATGTGAATTATGATTTTAGCTGTGTTTTTAAAACCCAGTAATTTTAAAAGTTACTCCAAAATTTGCTTGAGGATGAAATGGAACTAATGTCTTTAATTTAATTACAAAATTAAATTCAGGGCTTTTAGCTTCCATTTTTGAAACATGGTTAGAACTGTGTAGCAAGAAAAAAAACATTTTAAATCAATTAATTTATAATATATATATATATATATATATATATATATTAAAAAGAAGAGAGATAAAGCATATTTTTGTAAAAAAATCCATATTATTTTCCATAATTTTACTACACACATTTCTGGTCTCACGATCATCATCAGGTAAAGGGTGGAGGTTTCCACATATTATTTATGTTTTTCAATGTTAAATATTCTCAATATCAGACATTCTCTTTTTTTGTGTTAGTAATCCAAATGTCTTTCTTGAACTGGCAGAAAAAAATCTACATTAAAACCAAAAACGTTTGCAGTATCTCTCTTCTTTTTAATATACACACTTTTCTCTCATTGGAACCACTATAACCTCTTCCTTTCATTTCATATATATATATATATATATATATATATATATATATATATATATATATATATATATATATATATATATATATATAAAAAAAACAAACAAGTCAGGTACACAGTTTAAAAAATAAAATATGTACACAAAACCTATTGGATTAATTATACAAATGTATCAATCAGTCAAATGTTCAAACTAGTCAAGAGTGAACAGTAATGCACAAAGGTCTTTGTCAGCATCAATTTCCTGGCAAACCTCTTGTATAAAATGAAACATGGCATCAACAGAATGTGGCTTGAATGTGAAAACTATCCTTTACATACCCCCAGAAACAGAAATCCTTAGGGGTGAAATTCAGCAAACAATGTATACCTACTTTTGCAGCCACCTGTATTTATATATATAGCTGTGTGTATTTGTGTGTGTGTAAATTAACCTGCAAAATAAAAATCTACAGGAAAAAAAATAAATGAATAAAAGGAATTAAAGCAAGAAAACAGACATAATTAAAAAGGGAGAAAACAAGAAACCAACTACTTGTTATTAAAAAGGGATAAAATGACAAAACAATTACACTGAGAAGAGGTATTATGATTATTTACATTATTCAGACTGTTATCCTCATCTTTATTGCCATATTCACAACATTTTGACCGTTGTATACTCCGATCTTCAGGTAATTGGTATTTCAAACCAAACCCTTTAATTTGTCTCCCAGGGTAGATTGTTCTATTTCCACATGCCACACCTCTTCAAGATGTCTCAGTTATTTCTCTTTAACTCAACTTTCCAAGTTTTTTTTAGTTCAAGGACACAGTGGATAAAAACATTGGTTAGATCCAGTGACTCGACCCAAAGTGTTGAGAATTCAATACCAGGCTGCAGCAGTGGTGAACCAAACTTGGAGAGCTGAGTTAAAGGGAAATAACAGACATCCGGAAGAGGCATGGTGCGTGGAACTAGAACAATCTAACCCGGTGGACAAAATAAAGAGTTCAGTTCCAAATTTCAATCACCTGAACAAGACCGGAGTGTACAACAGCCGAAACGTATGAATATGGCAATAAAGATGAGGATAGCAATCCCAAATAATGTAAATCACATTATTAAAATGGGACAAAACAAGAAACGAACTACACATTCTTAAAAGGCACAAAACAAGAAACTATAGTAATTTGCAATAAAAAATAAAAAAATATAAGAGATGATTCTAATTGATCAGAACATAACCAAGTAAAAAAAAAAAAAAAAAAAAAAAAAAAAAAATGTTTTGCTCATTTTATTTTTCTTACTCAAGTCCTAATAAGTGAGGGGTAATAACTGGTCAACTCATTCTGTTGTTCTCTTATTTTTCTTTGCTTCTAATTTTGTATTGCTAACTACCATACCCCATTTTTTATGCTTTACTTAAATTTTGTACCTCTAATAAGACCTCCAAATAAAAGGAACGGTCAAATACAAAATGTAATGATGTTTGAGTCTAAATATAGCCTGGCCTGTTTTTATTTACAAACTACATGCCCCAGAGGTATGCATTTCAAGTGAATCAGCACAATGGTGATAGGTACTCTTGAAAAGATGCATCTGTTGTTCAGCAACAAGAATAAATATGTACCATCAGAGAGCAGGCATATAGGCAGATAACATTTTTGTAAGCCTTACTCTTTCCATTATTATGAATAATAACAATAATACAACAGACTAGAGTTATTATTTAGAACAAATTAATACTACATCTATACATCCACTGAAAAGGTGAAACAGTTGTAATTTACCTTCTGAGAGATTACGTAAAGGCTATTATTTTGAACCTGTATGATCATTCAAGAGATTATTTATAGGCTATTATTTGAACAAGACTTATCTTTCAAGGAAATCTGACATCAATTTTTCATATTAATTACAAAATCTTCACATCTCAATACAAAACACTTACATTGAGATTGCAATTAGAATTCAAGTTAAAGCAATGGTTTTCATGAAAAAGTGTAAGAAAATGTTTCTATTTGGGTCATTCTATCTCAAATGAACCAACAGCCACAGGTGACCCTCTCAGAAAAATCTAGAAAAAATTCAAAGGTGTCTTTGATTAAAATTATTGATAAATCACAAATATTAAATCTGTATCCTCAATAGTTTTAAGAAAATCTTGAAATTTCAATATCTTTTGCATTTTGCTAAATAAGATTTTCAATGACCCGATATTATAGCCCTAAGGATATTGTATGTACATATTTGAAACATGGTTACAATTGTTAGTATTTATTGTCAGTTACAAAAATATAAACAGCTTAGGTGTCTTTCATGCAATTTTATTTTTATAAGGACTTGACGTAAGAGAAGTCACTACTAGTTACTTTTGAAGTCTTCTTTGAAGTGTCAGATGTCAGTTTACCTGGAAAAAAAAAAAAAAAAAAAAACAATACTATACAAGATTTCACAGCTCTAGCATCACTCTTTTATAACCAGCCCACTCTCGTAAATAAGAAAACATTGAACATTTCCTGGCTAAAACAATTGTGTTCATGAATATGCATCCTCCACCCCCATAAAAAAATCTGGACAACACAGTATAGGTTACTTAGTGAGAATCAATTTGATAGCAATGGCTTGCAAAACCATTGTTACTGACCAGAGTGATTCTCAGTGAAGTGTGACCAACATGCGCTTTTAAAGAAAAATTTCATATTATATATAACTTTTTAAAAAAAATCCATCAACAGATCTTAACATGTTGACTGTCACAGGTCAATTAGGAAATCTAATTTCAAACACCAACTTTAAAATAGCCAACTCAGGCAATAAAAAAGTTGTAGGAGTTGATTTCTAGCTTATTGTGATCATATTAAACACAGTACTGTGAATAAAATCGTTATTGGTACTGCACAGATGAAAATGTAATGGAAAATGCAAAGCACAAGATAACTTATACTCAGTATCATAATCAAAACTACTAACCATGAGTTATCAATGTCATTGGCAGTCAATGTGTTAATATATTGTTTTTCACATTTCACAGTTTGATTAACTACCACTTTGAAAATAACACAAACAGAACAAACTAACACTAATTTTAATAAACCTTAAATTATTAAAAGTTTGGTCAAAAGTAACACCTGATCTTATTTAGTTTTTCAAATATTAGACTTAATTCCTGGTGGGAGTGTAAATGTAAACCATAAAGTATCTAGGAATCCAAATCTAAAGTTTTAGAGATTCTCTTTTACTATCCATAATCATTTCAAAATGGCTACCTATCTGGACACACAAAAACAGTCATTTCTGTTCTTAGTAAAACAGTATGTTAGTAAATGTTTATGGAAAGGCTGCACTTAATGTAAGCACAGTAGGGAGCTATTTCACTAAAATTAAAGTATTATTAGAGAGAAAGGAGAAATTAACATTAGTGACAGGTCCTACAGTGGCAGGCCAGCTGCTGCCGTGAATAAAAATAAGGCCAAACAGACTGATGCTTTCATTATAGCTAACAGAAGAATCATGATTTCAAAACTATGTGAAATCTTTCAAGTTAATCATAGTATTAACCACTGTTTAGTTTAGAGAGACCATGAAGACACAAAGTGGTTGCTTCTGGAACAGCACAACATGCATAGCACCTTCATATTCTACTGCATTTAACACAAGAGAACAAAAGACAGTCCATGGAGTGGTGCCACCCAAACTCATTCAGAACAAAGTTTAAGGAAGTATGCCTTCAGGGAATGGGACAGCCATGATATTTTGTGACAGAAGAGTATAACAATGTTAGAGTGTATGCCCAATGGTCTCACTAACTCTGATGACTACATTAGCAGATTATCAAAACTCATAGCAAGGTTTCTTTGAGCAAGACCACATTTTAACATTACATTGTAAGGCCTAACAAGAACTTGCATACCAAACAATCACAGAGCATGACCGAGAAAACTTGTCCCATCTGCCCTACCATCCTGATACTATAAGACTTTGATCTGTTTAAACCCATATTTAATTGGTTATTTTTGCTTAGCAGCATAAAGGTTATTTAATGCCAAAATCCAAATATTTTTTTTTTTTTTTTTACACAATTTTATTTTATTTTTGGAGATAATGGTGGTTTAGTGATACAAGTTTTACTAATTAACCCATAGCTGGGAGGAGAAGAGGTGGATTCATACCTTTCCCAGGAGTATTTGTGCATAAGTAAATATAAGGAATCCAACTGGAATTGGAACTCTGCTCCCCGATTAACAATTCCAATCCATGATCCATTACACCACCTGCACATCCCAGTTTACAGTACCTAATATTCCCAAGTGGTTACCTATCCCAGTACTGACCAGGCTCAATGTTGCTTAACTCCAGTGATCATATGATCATTCAACGTGATATGGCTGTAAGTTTTGAAACAATGAAGGAAAAGCTCAGCTTCTCCAATGATGATGAAGAGGTGAAAGAGGCAATGTGCACATAATTAAGGATGCAGGCAAGAAGTTTCTATGAAATGGCTATACATGCTCTAATTCAAACATGGAATTTCACAAGTAGGAATGAAGGAGAATATGCAGAAGGCAAAAATTAGGAATCCTGAAGATTTGCATTCATTTTGGTATGCTTAGTATGCTGCTACTATTAAATGTTTATAAAAAGCCTTACTTTTTTTTTTTTTTTACCAATCCTCATATTAGTAACATTTTATGTGTTTCACTATCACAATATTACATATATATAAAAGTGTTGTGCAAAAAAAAAAAAAAAAATTTCAACTTTGACTAAGACAATTTATATCATTTTTCAGAAAGGCATGAACCTGATTCTTCCTGCACTCATAACCACTCATCTTGATCATGACTGTCAGTAGTATAACAGGGTACTGAAAAGTTCTCATCCCAACCTGCTTCCCATAATCTGACCAAGTATCTGACTCCACCTACCATGCTCAATCCTTACAAGAACCAAATCAGATATAAAATTGCATATTTATTTTTTATTATTATTTTTTACTATTGTTCACTCAATACAAGTCTCAAGAGCAACTTAGGTTGAGGGTTACTGAATGAGATTGTTGTCAAGGTATAAAGGAAAGAGGAAGATTTGCTGCCATATCTGTGTTGGAGTTTCCCAATCCTCACTTTTCAATCTTGACAGAATTCAAAACCATCTGCATGTCCTTGTGGGTGATGAATTATTTTCCACCTTATAACCCCTTTCCTTCATAGACAAAAATGTTGTTAGCCTTTCACTACTCTATTTTCATGATAGATGTTCAGGTGAACTAAATTCCTTGTTTCTACCCAAGTCCTTCACAGCTAGGATCCGCCATGCCATATATGCTGAGTTGACTCATCCATATTCTCTTCATATTCCATTGGTAAGGAAGAACTGTTGCATTGTGGAACATACTTCCCCGATCACTACACTTTTATTCTCATCAAGTCTAAGAGCAACTGTTATCTATCTTACATATCCTCATAATATGCACTGCTTGGTCCATCTTTGTATGCTCTTTGAGCAAACTCATTTAGTAATCCTCTCCTCTGAGTGGCTCTTGAGCCTTGTATTGGGTGAACAATAGTGTAAAAAAAAAAAAAAAAAAAAAAAAAAAAAAAAAGAAAAATAAATAATATATATATATATATATATATATATATATATATATATATAATAACCAAGCAGACATTTTTTCTTTTTCTTTGTGTGTGTATGTTGAGGAGGGTGTCTTTGTCAGTCAAAAACTTTTCAAAATCCCCTCATACACTATGTTGGTAGACAGTGAAAAATGGGCGAGTGAGACACTTCCATAATTACCTGACCTGCCCAGGCAGTAACAAGAGAATAGGTATATCCATTGTAAGCTATGATGGATAAACACCAACAATCTGATCTATTTTGACATGTGACTTCATCTATTTCAACTGTTTAAAGGCATCAGTTATAGTAACCTTCTGAGAAAGTCAGAGCAACTCCTTGATTCACTCCAAGAGGATAGATTATTCTTATACTGCTGTCCATTCTTGGGGATATTTTCTTTTTAATTACCATATATTTCTGCATATAAGACAAACTTTAAATCCCCAAAATCACCCTTAAAAATTGGTGATCATCTTATACCACAATTCTAAAAAAAGAAACCTTAAATTCTGAGTGATGTTTGTCAGTAGGCTAACCTTGACCCAGGTGCAATAACGAATACCATACATGAAAAGCACATTATCAAATAAACTGATAATAAAAGTAATAAACCATGTCTACCTTAGATATTACTGTGACACTGAGGTGGTAAAGCATTAATTCTAAGCAGGAAAAGAAAACAGTTAATCCAAAATTAAATATAGGCTGGAAAATAGAGACAGAGAGAGTGATGACATTTTCCTCAGTGAGAATGGGATGGCTGTATTTCTTCTCTCCTAAAAGCTTATTTTTCTTATCTATCGAGAATTTGGCATGTGGACAAAAAAGATTTGGAGAAATGGTTTTATCTCTTTCTTGAGAAATTAGAGAAATACATATATTTTTTTGTTGACAAAAATGAAAACAGAACGAACCCTTTTTCTTAGGGCTGAAGTTATGAAAAACCTATCATGTCATTGCCAAGAAGGTGATCTGGTTTGAGTTTTTGCTGAAGATGTGACTGGCCCAAGAATGGAAAAAAAGTCTTTGTTGAGAATTTAGGTAAACAAATATATTTTCACTGATGAAAAAGGACTAGGGAAATAATTTTTACCTATCACTCAGACGGTCAAAATGAGAATGAATTTCTCCTAACGGGTTGGATGTACTGTACAATTAAGGCTGGAGTTATGAAAACAAATTGTCATAAGTGGTTTGGATTGCATTGTCACTGAACAGAGATAGCACCAGGAAAATAGAAAAAATTTAGAGAGCTAAAATTAATGGCTGGAATGGATTTCCACCCTTCTGCCTACACGCTTTAAAAAATTATGCATGCCTTGGGAAATGGGCTGAGGTTGAATACTGAGAAGGAAGAAGGAAAGGGCAGAGTTTAACCCCACCTGTGCAGAGTAGTAGTGAGCGATGTGAAGTAAAGCAGGTCAGAGTTAAGGGGAAAAGCTATCATTGTAACTACTCCCAAGCAAGGTGGATAATTTTCTAAATTTGGAAAGTTGATTAGGAAAGAAATCGGGAACAAAGAAAGCCTTTATTTGAATTAATGAAAGAATCAACAAACCACGAGAACACTTTGGTCCCACACCAGTTTTGGGCCAAAATGCATATAAGCAGATGACTTTGGAGAGATTATTGACTTGGGTTGAGAAGTCGCATCAAGTGCTTCTGGAATCCATGCTGGCTACCAACCAGAATTCCAGATTCCAAGACTTTGAACCCAGCCTTCCAGAAGTTTAGACAAAGCCTACTGTCACTAGAGAGATTAGATGCGGGAAGGGTTAATTTTTGTTGTACCAAAAGTTATATAAACCAATTGAAGACTAGGTATTTAATCTGTCTCCCCACTAAGATGAGTTGTGACACAAGGTCTTTTTTTACGGTGGGGACCCGAGCTCATACACCTGAACCAGGAACAAAAATTGCCCACAGACCCAGCAACCATTGGTTGCGCTGGCCTCGGTGTGAGCACCGGTCCCTCTCTCTGGTGCAATGAGAGAGCAGCCTCAGGCAGCTGTTCCCCAGGGCTGAGCACCTCTCAGTATAATTTTCCTCAGTTGCGATTCTGTCCTTTGACGGAGTCACCCCTGACTGTGCTCTGCCCAAAGACAAAGACGCAACTAAGAGATGATAATGTTTTACAAACCCCTCGTTAAATCAATCGAAGACTAACACCAAGAATTTCTTATTTTATTTATTTTCATTATGAAGATATTTTTTCCTTAATATAGCAACCATCATAGCTTGACTGGTGCTGCAAGACCACAACAACATTTGTTTTTCTACTGCTCTGTGATCAAGAATGATGTGGACCAAAGCAGCCAGCAACTAACACCCAGCTTGGATCACTAAATATGATTACACCACTGGGTGTAGGCGGTAGCAAAAGGTGTTACAATACTGGTATAACTTCATAATAAATTGCCTATTCGAAGAATAATTCCATAACAATGAAATCAATTTGTATCCATGCAAGTTCAGATGAGAAAATGTAAACATGAATGATTGCATTCATAGCAACCTTTATCTTTTGCTAAACTTTCAAAAATCAACTGACTTAGACAGTAGTTAGGAACAGACTGAATAAAAAAAAAATTTTGAAAGTGGAATGTACTATTATTGTATATTATTGTACTGTTATTAGTGGCATTTTGTGATTTACAATGAAGTAAAAGTAAATTAGTAGACCAGGCTGTTTATAACTGCTTAGATATAGGAAAAGAAGAGGAAGAAGAAAAATTAGTATTCGCAAGAGATCCCGTGATGAAATGTAAACAATGGTTTCCCTTTTAGGGGACATGTATAGGAAAAACATGATACAGAATCGATTTTGTTATTTCATTTATTTTGAATTTCTAAGGATACAGTAAGTAACAACATTTCCAATAACATCATCTTTATATAATCAATAAGCAGTCATCTTATATTACAGGTATAGGATAAATTCATGAAAGCTTGCTATATTTTTTTTTATCTTGTCTTATCTAAAGCTCACCTTGTATGTGGAAATATATGGTAATTCATCCTTGTGATACTGCTTTTTCCTTTCTCCACTGAACTAAAGTATATATGATTTTCACTACCTGCTCCTGGAATTCAACTCATCATAAAGTAAGCAACACTTTAGGCTATATGAAAAAAAAAAAAAAAAAAAAATCATTCCTGTTGTATTCCATTGAATGCTGGACAGTGTCCCCATAGATGACCAGGAAATTGGAATTTGGTTCTACAGAAGGATACTGAGGGAATCAAAAAGAAAGAGATGGAATTTCTTGGACACATAACGAGGAGAGGGAGCTTAGAAAAATTAACTCGCCCAAGGGATCAAGGGTAAAAGAGAGGAAGGCGATAGGAAACCTACCTGAGAAACTTGTGTAAATGGATAATAAAACAGTGGTGAAAAGTGGCTTGGTTTGAGAGAAACGCTGCTAAGGGCAATGAAGTATAAGAAGTTGTGGAGAGCCATTTACACAAGCTTATTAAGTAGCTTATGTGCTGATTTCCTCTGCCCCTCTTCAATATGTCCTGTCAGTATCAAATTTTCTAAGCCTTCTTTCCTTATTATATGCCTAGAATTTTTAACTGTCTCTTTCTGATGTTAAGTTCTTTTTGATCTATTTTCACTAAAAAGTTGTTGCTCACATGTTCGGTCCAATGGTATCCTCAGCTTACATGTAATAAAACTCCAGCTCATATAAATAGGACATGGCTTTGAATAAAACTGACAATACATTCCAAATACAAAATGTG